CTCACACGCATGCCTTGTTTGAATCATGTTGCAGAAGTGAAAATTCAGGCTGTTTGGTGGAGCAAGATGACACAAGCCACAAATGAGGATGAAGAGATCACTCGGGCACTACAAACTGGAAAGGCAGAGAAATCTTGAGGTTCGGCGTTTTACAATCAGCGAATATGGATTCCACAAGATTATGATTTGCGCACAATGATTTTGGCAGAAAGTCATGACACAGCCATTGCAGTTCATGTGGGAGTGGAGAAAACCTTAGAGAGTATACAACGAGTGTACTATTGGCCCAAAATACGTGAGGATGTGGAGTTTTATGTTCGAAGTTGTGTTGCTTGTCAACAAAACAAGGCAAGTAATAAAAAACCAGCGGGTTTATTACAGCCTCTTCCTATTCCCAAATAGCGGTGGGAACATGTCACCATGGATCTTGTATGTGAGTTACCAAAGACTTCGTTAGAGCATAATTCAGTGGTGGTTTTTGTGGACAAATTGAGCAAGATGATTCACATCAGGCCAACCACAAAAACAGTAACAGCTCCACAACTAGCTCAATTGTATCTAGCTGCAGATTTTGTGAATCATGGCTTCAGCAAAGTGTTAATCACGGATAGAAGTACTCACTTCACTAGTTTATTTTGGAAAACTTTGTTTAGGTTTTTCAAAACAAAACTAGCAATGTCAACGGCCTATCCCCCTCAAACTGATGGACAAAGGGAGAGGGATGAACCATAGAGTATATGTCACGAGCATTAACATTAGAAGAGCAAGAAGAGTGGGACAACCTTTTGCCACTTGTGGAATTTGCATATAACAATTCTGTTAAGCATCCACAAAAGGTCTACTTTTTTCTTATGTATGGAGTTCATCCTATAACTCCTTCAAGTTTGATGAGACTTTCCAAAGGAGAGGAGTTTTTGACCAAAGTTGCAGCAGTCAATGAGTTCGTGGAGCATATTCACCGAGGACTACATCAGGCCAAGGAGAAGTTGGTGATAGCTCAAAATCGGCAAAAGCAGCATGCCGATGCTCATAGTAGAGAAGTGATCTTTAAGATTGGAGATCACGTTTGGTTATCTACAACGAATTTGTCTCTTGTAGGAACACCAAAGTTGAACCCTAGGTTCATTGGTCCATTTTTGGTTTTGAAGCGTGTTGGTGAAGTGTCATACAAGTTGGAACTTCCGTCACATATGAAAATACACCCAATATTTCATGTGTCACGATTGCGAAAACATGTACCACGACCAAAACAATTCACCCATCAACCAGCACCACATCCTCTTCCAACCTTGATAGCAGATCATGAGGAGTATGAGGTAGAAAAATACTCAAGAAACGTATTCGAGGTCATAAATATCCCAAAATAGAGTACTTGATTCAATGTAAAGGCTATCCATCGTATGAATCAACTTGGGAACCAGCTAAAAATTTAGCAAATGCAACTTTGATAGGTTAGGAGTTTGAACGTATGTGCAACGAGGACGTTGCATCTTAAAAGGAAGGAGGTTTGTAACCATCTTTAGTTAGTTAGAACTAAAGTAGAGGTTACTCTAAATATTGATATAGATACTTTAGTGTGCACTAGTCATAGCTACCACGTCAGCGATCCGTGTGCTTGTTAGGGTTATCCGCCACGTCATCCATCCACTATGAGTGGGATGGATGGTGGGGATAAGATCTTATCTCCTTGTACTTGTTGGTGAGAGCTATATAAGGGAGAAAAGAACCATTTTTGGTATCCTTCATCTTCAGAGTTTACGTTTCTATCTTCAAGTGAGCTTCTCTCTAAACCCTAGTGTTACAAGCGCTTCCAGCTTTATAAACCAAAATAATTTATGTGTTGATTAAACTTCAGCCTGAAAGAAATCTTGATCAGCATATCAGTTTGCTGTAATTTTGTGGAGAGTATTCAAACTATGATCTTCTTCAAAGCTATCCGCTCCCTCATAAAATGATGTTGAATACCTATGTGCTTACTTCTTGCATGAAAGATTAGAAATTTGGCAAGTTTTATAAAACTCTCATTGTGACAGTGAAATGTCGTGATGTTAGTTAGTGAATTGGAAGGAGAAAGAGCAAAAGTCACCTTAATATCTTTGCAAGAGAGAGGTGTTGACGTCATTGGGACTATGATTGGATTAATTTTATGCAACTGTTGTCGTAGTCAAATAGACTCTTGTGCAATAAGGTACAAGATCTTATATTCACTTTCTATAGGAAAGAGTTAGATAACATTTTGCTTCTTGTAACATCACAATACTACTCTCCCAACGAGTGTAAAAACGTCAACACCGATAGATTTGAATGTGTTATGACAGTAGTCCACATCGCATCCGTATATTCTTGCAATTATAGTGGATATTCTTCTTTGAATTTTATTCCGTGATCTAAAATACACTTGAGGTACTGCAAAATCTAAAAGTCAATTTCTAGATTATAATACTAAAATGTTGACATAAATCGGAAGTATTGTTCCACAACAAAATAAATATCTAACTCCAAGTTAGCAGCAAAAAGCTATTGGTCATCTAGTTTTATGTAAAATTTAGTATCTATGTAAGGACTACTAGTATCTTTTGTCAAGTATTTGCCAACATCAATTGTTAATGTAGATGACCTAAAGTACATGTTTCCATTGATGTACACTTTTTTTGCGTTAGATAATTTTTTTAAAATTGCACTTCATACCAAACACATAATAAACATCATACGCCTCTTTTTGATTTAAAGTAGGTGATTTTTTTCTACAAATCGAAAGAACTTGATTGCATGTAGTTTTAAATGAGGTATGATAAGCTTGATCTTCAAGATTAGAATGAATATAATTGTTCTAGTTAAGTGTGAGGAGATTCCGCTATCAAAAACCATGACTGCTTTTTTTCTACTTGATTCAAAAATGCATTAAGTACATTAGTCACATCATCGACTACAGAATCATCTACTACTAAAGCAGCATTATGTCAAATAACACAACATCAACTTCTTCAAAATCAACATTACAGTGATTATCATGACTGTCCAGATAGCATTCCATGTTGTTAGCCTCAGACTTTATGGAGGTTTTGAAAGTGTTGTAGTACATCTGTAGCGCTTTGAGCTTCTTCTGAAGGTGATGATGACAACATTCATTGAACTATTGCTCATGTTCGCCGCATTCAATGCAATTGCTGCATTTTAAGCTCGGAGTAGCAAATTGTGAAGAATTGTTTTCATTGTTGTCATAGGGTATTTCTTTAGCATGCCGAAGAATATTACTAGAGATAATATATCTTTGAGTAGAATAATATTGAAAATAATCAGTAGAGTCATAGCGATTGTTAAAATTCTTGTGTTTTTTATTGATCAATTTTTTTCTATCATACTCGTGATAATCACAATCATTACAGATGATATCATTGAAAACAAATCTACTTTTATCTAGATAAAATTGCTTCTTGTTTGTTCATGGCAATTGCGGTCACGATGAGAATCGTCTTGATGATACTTGGTATAAAATATGCGTTGGATTATGACAATAAGAGACTTGTTTGACTCGCCGTTTGATTATATCTGAACTCAGGGATGATTTCTTCGTTAATGAGGAGAATAAAAAAGTGCAAAAGTGTATAAGATTTATGATTATTATTAGCTTTAATGGAAGAAGCAAATCTTGACCGAATCGTGATCAAACTCATCAAAATAAGACGCATATGTTCTTAATCCTTAACTGTATCATTGCAGTTTGATAACTGATTAGTGAGATTTCTCATGACAAGCATGTGAGTCTTAATAGATTAATATTTCCTCATTGAAAGGTTGGATAGTTTATGATGCAAGAGCTGGCATCAATCCTCACTAGGTGAGACAAACAATGTATCCTGCTCTTTCCACATCATGTGAGTGTCAGACATGATAATATGATAAACAATGTGCTCGCGCACATTCATCATAATATAGGTAACTAATGTTTATTATTATCGCATTGTTCAAGAATGATGTCAATTTTCTCTTGAACATCTTTATTAGTAGACTATTGTTCTTGCTTGGTCGTAATTGTACTTTTACGTGCTTGATGAGTCAATACTTTTGGAATCTCAAGTGCAAGTAGTAAATTTGATAAAGCAATGTTTTCTGTGACTTATGCAAAACATTTCTTCTTGCGTAAGATGACTTGCATTTGCGCAGTCCAAGCAATGTAGTTGTGACTATTCTCAAGCTTTCATGTTGGGTGGATGAACTTCTCATTACTTGAGAAATTCATGGTTCCGAATGGGAGAGTAACAAAAATTTCAAATATTGAGGTCACCAAGTTAAATCATTCATAATCTTCATTGTAATGTCAAAGAAAACACTTACCATGTTGGAATAGCTAATTCGAAATAAGTGAGACTACTTCAATCTATAAGTATGCTTGTACATATAGTGTAGTCTAGAACGGTATTCTAATGGAATGGATAGCTTATTAATCTCGGACTAATAAGTGTGTCAAGTCTTCTATAATATTAGCACTCTCAGAATATATTTAGAATCTAACTTAAATCAAAAATAATATAACTTTTGGGTGCATTTTGAACCATTATATGATAACAATTAAAATAATTAACCACTAAGGTGTAAGAAACCATGCAGATCTTGAGTCATATGTTTAACAAAATCAACTCAAATCACATTGAACATAAGGAGTCTTCTAACATATCATAGAATCTTTCGAGATACAACCAAACATTTCACCAGAAACTGAAGTTCCATCTACCATCAAGTATTGAGTTTTGCAAGTGTTAGACCTGGACGAATTTGCCATACTGTACTGCAATGTTCCATTATTCCGCATTTCCATTCTGATCCACCACGAAGAACAGATGAATCAGAGTAGAAGAGTAGACTTCGTGAATCCCCATGCGACATAGGGGATGGAGACAGATTGCTCCCTGGCTGTGATAGAGAGAGAATAGCGTGGAGGCTGATGCGGATTCGGGAATCAGCAGGGAGTGGAAGAAAGTGTACCAAACACGTGAGAGAACCTCATCTCCACATTGCACGACGTGATGAGACGGAATAAAGACAACAAAGCTCCCCAGCCCTGCTGCGGCGGCGGGTGCTTCTGTAGTCGGCTCGCGGCGTCTCATCTTATCTTGCCTACGAAGAACAATTTGGCGGACAGATGACAGAGTCGGTGCAAATAATGCTCAAGCTCCATTAACTGCAAACCCACCTGGAATCTCGACGAGAGGAAATCTGACAGGCAAGTAGAGGACACCGACGACGGAAAGTAACAATTATCTCAGAATGACTGTGCATCCGCCGATCGCCCTGACAATTCAAAGAATATAATTCGATGGCGTGGCATGGGGATAGCCGGCGCAACAGGACATTCTCCCCATCGCCACCGGCATCTTCATCCTCCTCCTCCTCCTCTCAAGCTGTTGGTGGCTTTGAGTGGGGAGGTTATGAAGTATGCTCTCTCACTCTCGGTGCGTGTTTCATCTCACTGCCGGGGTCTGTCGGTTGGAGCAGTGAGTATGATGTGACGTCAAGCTGAGGGAGGAGAGTCAAATGCTTGTTTGAATTCTAGCGTCGAGGTTTTCTCGTTAATCTCATGACTCGTCGACGTCTCCGATCCATCACCGGGAGTTGGTAACAAAGAAAATCTCACTGAGCTCTTCATATGGTGCGGCTAGTGGTCGAGCTTTGTGGAGTCGCAGCGAGCTTGCGAGTCGTCGCCCTCCCTTCTTCCGTCCCCTGTCAAATATTTGCCCTCGGAAGCAACTCTCCCCGGATGTTTCAGATTATTCTCGTCGTTTTTCTCATGTTGCGACTGGAGGTACTGATTCGCAGAGCGATTGCCAGTTTGTCGACATGGCAGCTTCACCATCCAGAGTGGTGATGTTTCTCGGCTTGGTGATTTCTCTCAGCCGCCATGGATCCTCTGTTACTGCTCACCTCTGGTCTGCCCCTGAGGCGAGGCCAGGTCTCATGGTGCCAGGTGGATGGTGAAAGGGCAGGGAATCCAGCACTCGCAGTCGCGCATCGATTCAATGACAGGCTTAGCATGTACAATGTGGGACGTCCGCGCTAAGGCGAGCTCCATGCCGACGATTGCATTCATTCGGGTGCAGGTCCTTGGGGCCTTCAAGGAGATGTGTTCCTGTCTGCCAAGCGGACGTGCAACTCGCATCGAGCCAACTGGAACGATGTGAATACGATGCCTTAGCACTCGCTCAGGATGGGGACAGAGAACTCTCGCTGATGCTGTCGTGCGAATTGGTACCCGTTTTGTTTGTCTCACGCCGCCCTGGGATTTCTCGAACCATGCAAGTCACCTGAGTCCGTTCTGGAGGAGTGTGAGTAAGTTCCCGAAATTCGAAGAAGAAGATTGGCACCTTAAGAATTTGAGCTTTTTTGTTTGAGCCTCATGATGCCGTTTCCGAGTCCATCTGATCATCGGATCATCGGACGAGTGATTTTGGTTTTCATACCATGGATCACTTGAGGAAGTTAAATCGGGCTCTCGACGTTCAGAGACCTGGAAGGACGGCATCGCGGTGGTCCGCTTGTATCGGCAAGAGTACAGTAAAGTAAAGCGAGAAATTTAGGATGAGCAGCCATGAGATAGATACTGCTGACTGCACTAGGGGAGTATGTAGTCGGTATCTGTGTAGATCTTTCCAAATCTGTACCAGGATTGATAATATTTAGCATCGAGACTTTGCAGGAACAGAGTACAGGTCGTCAAGTAGTTTCTGTAAAATGGTCACACACATGCACGCACCCTCCACCTGCTGCATCGGTACCTTGTAAATCTGATGAGTTTTAAGAGAGAATTTGCGAGCTAGAAAGACGATATAAAGGGGCGGTGTCCACTTGCGAGCACTGGCAGCCTGTGTCCTCTGTCTGAGCTGATCGTAATACAACTACTCGAGTCGTCCTCTGCAGGTCTGCCACCACCGTGTTCGAAACACGATTGTCGGATCTCCGAGCCTTTGGCCACCGTCTTTGCTTGCAAGCTGTCGATCGTTGTGACCTGTCGAACCCATACCCAAAAGTTTGCCCCCGGTCACTGCGAGCGACTTTCGTGCACACAGTACGTGTCTCCTACATGATCGAACATGTGTAGTACCCGAAGGCTATTCCGAAGATTGAGGCAACATGGATCATCTGCTCCGTTCGTCCACTTCGAGGAAACACGATAGGTCTGAGAGAGAGTAACGGCCTGAGCGAGAGGTTTTGGTAGGAAGCGCAGAAATGTCTTGCAGCAGATTTGACTGCAGCTCTGACTGACCTCAGAAAGCAAATGCTCGAATGTCTGATTCCGAGTCGATGGAACGGATTTCAAATTTCGCTATCACCACGTTGTTATGCTTGTTACTGGATTCGGCGACTGCCGCCAATTTCGAGAAACTGTCGATCGGGGATAACTTCGAGAATGTGATGAAGGATCCTGCTCCGAGCGTTTTGGCTGTTGGAGACTGCATCGAGTACAGATTTCCGCGGATCATGCGGGACGTCAAGTGGGGATACATAGAGATTGAGCGGGAGGGCATCATGGACGCATGTATGCGAGAGAATTGCACGCTTGAGGTCGGGGAAAGAGGATTCTCGCCACCGAACTGGGTCTCCGATACAGAAGGCCAAGGAACTGACTGCTTCCTGAAACTGGAGGAGGGAGGGGGCATGGCGATCATGAGAGGAAATGCAAGCGATCCGGTCTTGCTGCAAACTCTGTGGCCCAATGAGAATCTGACCCTTTACACGGCCGCCCCGTACACCGTAGCCTACGAGGTCTACCTCGATGATTTGTACGAGGTTGTGAGCGACCACGCTCTCGAATATGGTCCGGATCGGTTTTCCAAAAACCCCAGTCTCGTACTGCGGAGGCTCGTCTGGACGTGGTTATACGACGATGACTTCACGGTCAAGAACACTGTGTTGGCTACCTTCCCGGAAACCAATCTGCCCAACTTGAACGAAGATTGATCAAGTGCCACCGTCATCATTCCAGCTGGACAGAATCCTACGTGTCGCACTTTGATTCGGCCACTTCCAGGTCCCAGGTCCAGGTCCAACGCGTCGAGGCAGACGCATCTGCAAACCACGTGAGTCATCCAATAGTTCCACGATTCTTGCACCTACCACGGCAGCCAAGGGACGTGGTACTGTGTTGACCTTTTCTTCCTTTTGTTCGTAACAGATCTCTCTATGCTCGAATGGTGTCGGTGCTTGCATCACTAGTTAGCCGCGCAAAAATGTGAAACATCTTCTTTCAATCAGCAAGTATGAAACTTATTTTTTAAAAAAAATTTAAAATGAATGGGAAGTGTGCTCTTGTAGAGAAAGACATCAGGAGGAACGTACTTACACCGAGGAAATGATATTCGAAATTTGGAATGATAGTGTTTAAGGGAATAACTCCAAAGATTGAAATTTTTACATAGAAATCTTAGCATGAATGAAGTTATAAAAGCTAATATCAAATCTTACCAAATATAATCCGATATTATGATCGTTTCGTAATCATCCAAGTTCAATATAAGTATATGTGGCAGTGTACATCCCATTTTTCTTACAATTTTTTGACAAAATCTCTTGCACAGAAGTGATTTACTGACTAAATGTAAACCAATATCATATCTCAACATGGTTTAGGTTTAAAAAGTCAAAAATAATATTTTCGACACATTAGAAAAACTCTTATAAACATTTTTTCTTCTTTCTGCAATCGAGTCAAATAAAATTTGAAACTGGTTGTGATTTGAAACTTTCACTTCAAATCTTTGGCATTCAAACATTTAAAAAAATATTTTCAGAATTTATTTTTTCAAAATCTTCTAGATATAAAATCCGAATGAATAAATTTTAAAAATTAATCTATATTTTAATTTCATACTTATGTCTTCAAAAATTTCTTAAGTATACAATATGTATATCTGAAACCATACATATATGCCATATAAAATCAACATTGAATTTATTGATCTATCAATAAATTCAATTTTTATTTTCATAACTATTATGAACTAAATATAATTTTTATTCATATAAGTGTAGTATAATTGATAGAAAACATTATAAGAATGAAATTATGTCAACTAGACTTAATGTAGTCTATTTGACACGAAATTGTACAAGAATATCAGTATTGTATTTTTTTTAAATCATGCTAATATATATTTCAATGAATTTGTTGAACATTCAGAGCCAAGTGAATTTTTCAATAAGTTAAAGAGAATTATTCCTTTTCATTATCAGATGGATAAAACCTATTTTTATATTTTTGCAGGATTTGAAGTAGAATATTATTGAGAATCCTTAAGATTGTGAAAAATTACATACCAAAGAGTATTCCACCAAAAATTTGCAGTTGATTTCTTAGATGCGTAAATAAGATGTAATCAAATGATCATTCACAATTTTGTTGAAAAATAGAACAATTCAGCCTTGTTAGGCTGAATAATCCACATGTTCGGAATCATGTGGATGCTCAAAATGATATTCGTTCCATGATTCATATGCAGACTTGTCATCTTTTGCAAGAATGAATGTAGCTTTAGTCCAAATGAAACAAAAATTTATTTGTATATTGATTGTGACATATATGTGTATCTATATTGGTTGATATATATATATATATATATATATATGTTTCATGAAGTAAGAGAATTTGTTTAAAGAAAATTCTGATAACATATAATGGTCCACTAAATCAAACTTTACCATTAATGGAGTTCTTATTGATCAGAACGAAGTTTGTAATTCAACTTTTAAGGAAAACTCATGAGTTCAAATTAATGAAAAAAAACAACTATTCTTTCACTTCATTGAAAAAGTAAGAATCATAAACTTCATCGCATGTGTGATTTTTTAAAAAATTGCAAGAAGTAAATATCCAAACCTAGCAAAAATACAAAAGAATGGCTCTCAATGCACGAACCGGACTTTTCTACAAAGTCTGTAATATGAACAGTTGGACAAGCTCCTCTTGTGTTATGTCAAGATTGCACATGGGAAGAGAAAATTTTATTGAGATATTTGCTTGATGGGACCCATCAAGTTTCGATTTACCCGATGGGACCCCAACGACGGTACAAGTCAGAATGTTCTAGTATGAACAGACTGCGTGAAGTATTGCCCGGCGGCTGCCGCTCAACGAAAACATCTCTTCGTGCTCGGAGAGCGGAGAGAGTAGCACGAGGCTCTAAACAACCGCACTTCTTCCCTCCTAGGGTGACTGACTCGAGAAGTGATGACACGAGCTCGCTCGAGCATGGGAGCTCGCTGGTGTGGAGCCGAAGGTTGTTGTAGCGGTGGTGGTCATGAGCAGCAACATTTCTGGGCTCTCTGCTGCCGCTGTGAAGTGTAGTCTTGATCTTCTCTTGCACCTCGGATTCGACGGTGCCGGAAGGGGATCATCAGGCAGCGGATATGGAATCTCAGGTTATCTTGAGAAGCATGAGGTTTTGGCCGTGAGGGAATATCGATAGATAATTCGGTGTCGGGACGGGTTTGATCGGGAGCTAAGATTGGGTCGGCAGACCGCAGGGCCTTGTTGCACTGGGTGCGTGTAGGAGTTATATCGTTGCGTGCCACAACAAATTTGGGGCTGAATCGAGCGGTCCGCTCGGTGGACGGTGAACGCCATAGAATGTTTCTGGGCTCGACTCCCGGATTTTCTGAAGTATGAACATACTTTTTAAAGAACAAATACAAGAACAAGCAACGGGAACATATTCATATTAGAACTCATCGACGGCACACCGTCCATGGGGTCCCATCGGTTAAAACGAAATTTGATGGGTACCATCAAGCAAATATGTTCTTGATGGAATCACATCAAGCAAATATATCAATTTGCAATAGATGCTTTGAATCGAATATAAGAAAGTTGATTTGTAGTAACTTTGAAAGCTATTATAGTTTCGCTCTTTATAGCTTTATGTAACAACTTGAGAATAGTAAGGAGCTACAAACAGTCATATCTCTTATTCTTATGTTGGTGGACAGCAAATGAGATATGCGTTTTTGCGCGAAGCGAGTTCATGAAGAAACTCCAAGTCCCGACGTTCTGAATTATAATAAATTCCAGGACTTCAGAAAAGTTAATTCATTATATCGCGAGCCATTCCATTAACAACAAAAGTACCTTGAGAATTCATCAAAAAATACTTCCAAGAAAACTTATTTGTGCTGGCACTGGGCACATGTGAATGCGCCATTATCCCCGTCGACATCTCGCTAACACGGTACCGTGCGTGGAACCTCTGGAGCAAGGAACCGTCGGCTGCCACATTCCGCATCCAAGACGACAAATGTTGCGGAAAGATGCGTCATTATGCCGGAGGGAACTAACGGACGGATGGTTACTATAACCAGCACTCGTTTCTGGAACGAGCGGCAGGACGATTGTCGTGGAATTCATTCCGAGGCCAAGCGGAGGCTGCAGACGAGACGAGGATTGGTCGCCGGGGTGCGCGTGACACGGCTTCAGAGAGTACAGTAATCGGATATTTGATGATTCCGGCTTCTGTATGAGTCGAATCTGATCTGAGTTTCCGCACGGAGGACGAGGAGGGTGGCGAGAGTGGACGAATTCGAGTGAGACGCCTTGCCTTTGAAGATTGAGCAGCAGAGCGAGCAGGAGAGGAAGGATCGGGCAGATTCCCCGTGCAGGAAAACGCAGCCACGACGGTAGGAGGAAGAGAAGATAGATAGAGGCAGAGCGAAGTGGAGGCTCGAGCGGGTCGATACGCGCAGGCGCTTCTTGTTTCGCGAGGTCGGCATCGTGTTGACGTAAGCGGAACGGCGAGGAGATCGGGCCACCGTAAGCGGGGCATAGTTGAATCGCAAGCGTAGGGCTTGGTCTGAGCAACAGCGTTTTGCAGACAGGGCTTCGCGATCGCTTCCCAGACCTCGATTCGAGAGATGATGGCCTTACATCTGAGAAGGACTAGAACCGGTAATCGCTAGCTGACAATGCCAACACAGGACGTCGAGTACCAGTCTTCGAGAAGTTCGCGGATTTTGGTCGAAGAGATTGCGTGATTTGATCGGAGACCTGTTTTCGGGTGATGGCCAAGGGATCGAAGAGCACCAGGTGTGGTGAATCGACGCATGGATTGTAAACTTATCGCTCTTAACTATCTGGGAGTCCGTTTCTATCTCTTTTGCCAACGGTAGTGATGGATGCCTTGTTTTGGTTGTAGGCCTGGGCTCAGCAACAGGGCTCCAGCACACCAAGATCAAGTGCAACTAGGAGGGCATTCCATATATGGGGATATCGACGAGGAAATTGGTGGCTTAATTGTGAAAGTTGACCAGCTGAAGAATGTGAGTTTCATCTCTCTGTGGGTACAATTACACACTGAAATCGACGCTCTGCGTTGTGTGTACCAAGCGCTACATGCTTGGTTACAGACGAAGCAATGTCAGCTTTAGGTTGTGGCTGGAGTTCTTGGTGATATTTACTTCGCGATCACTCGTTAGTAATGTTTTTCGACTTCGTGCTTACAACTCCCGTCAGCTGGCGAACAATATACCAACCCAGTTGGAGTTTTTTTTTCGGACTCAGCCCTTTTATACAAGACAATATTGGGTTTGATCATCAGTTAGCTCCTTTGAAATAATCTCGTTTTGCGTTGGGCTTCTTCTTTCAGATGCTTGCCATGCTGGCAAAAGTTTAGAAACGAGATCGCGGTATATTTTGGAAGTCTGTAGATTTAGATGCTTGTCTCCCTTGAAGCTGTGATTTGTGTGATGACCATAATTGGGCTTGATGCCAAGGAGTAAATTACGCTTAATGATCAATTGTTGGCCTCGTGGCTTGGGCTTTCAGATTGCACAGGTGATAGAAACAGAGACAAAGTATCAAAATGAGCTTCTCAACCAACTTGTGAGTGTCTAACAGCTTTACTTTGATAATTTTAGGAATCTGCTTACGTCTCTAGGTCCACTTCAGTCTTCGCTCGTACAGTGATTTTTTTAATCCTTTTCCCATTTTTCATACAAACTGAAAGTCATGTCCATTAAAGTTTCTACCGCGATAATCTGAGATAGAACAAGAAGATGAAAAAATTCTGAATGTGTTTTACTGACTTCAGGAGGAGACGATGGCCAAAGCACAAGCCGGGGTAAAAACTGCCATGAAAAGGATGAGCAAAAGTGTTATACAAAACGGCTCCAATCATCTGCTGCACGTTGTGTTGTTCGGAATCCTGTTCTTCACCCTCCTCTATTTGTGGGCTAAATTCCTTAGATAAGTCTAGATTTCTAGTATTCAGCTGGTTCAAATGACTATGATTTAGAGGTTAGAGACAACTGTACATGTGGTAGGAACCAGTAAGCAAATTCTTTTTCTCGTGTCTGGAGCTGGTGACAATCAGAGATCATTTTATTACTAAAAGCAAGCCCATGTAACCAAAAGCTTTTAGGAGCTACTTGCTGGAGTCAAGAAGCTCCATAACAGTGAAACGTGTTCTGAGCTTTCTAGTTGGTCAGCTACGCATTGGTGAGGGCGTCTCTTGTGATATTGGCAGGCAGAAAAATATACCCACTTGTTTGCGGGTCTTCCCTAGCTTAGCGTTTCAAATGACTGGGAAGAAAAGAATCAAAGAGGAATGGCCTTGGACGGGAAAAACGAGGGTGCCATTTGAGAGTGAGGACAGGTTCTTGTCTCTGTGGGATGTTTCTCCATTGACGAGTTAAGATCGAAGTTTTCAACTGTAGTCGAGAAAACCCTTACTAATTAATTGGCATCTTAGCTCTACCGACTCTACCGAGTCGTTGCTCAACGCAGCCGCAGCGTAGGGCTTTCCATATAGGCTGAAAATCCCTGAGATAATTTTTGGCTGCTCCAGGTGAGCAAGGTACAGCGTGGTTCACAGTGCCAAAGGTGGTCCTGTTGACCCGTCTATACACAGGGTTCATTCATCTGTGGCTCACGGTTAGCAATTAACAGGGTGGTCACCCATTTGCATTCTCTGCTGGTTCAGAGGGTGCAACCCTTTGGAACTGTCTGAAGACATTGCCCGATATTTAAAGGCTCGGGGTGAGTACAGCACGCTTTGCTTTGTGCCATTGGTCACTTGGTCTTCTAGACTGCCATGAATTGAAGTGTATATTTTTTTATCAAGATCGTTTGCAGTATCTGACTGCGTTTGAGGACATTGTTACTACTAGCCATATATAGTCTGCTATTACCGAATTGGGGTGTTTTAAAGTGTAGAGCATTTGATCTGATTTAACCTCGGCCATATCTCGACAGTTATCTGTTTTAAATACTGGCAAGCAGGGGTCTTTCCTGAAGGACAGATATTTGTGGATATTCATTTTGGCGTTAAACGGCCACGCAAGCAGATACATGATCGTAGTCGTGTATACAGAAGATGCACAAATAAACGAAGACCAAGATTCTGGTCTATTTTGCACGAAAACTCCAATCCTCAAGATTCTTTGTAGGTAATCATCTGTCCAATGTCTTCGGGAAACTATGGCGCAATCCTCATAATATAAATTGGAAGCTTTGGTGAGGAATGTCATCACAAACACAAACACGGTATCAAGCTCACAATAATGTGGTAAGACGGTTTAAGTCAAAAAGGATTGGTGACAGCCGTCACGAGACGACGCCGAAAATAGATGTGCTAGAAGAATAATTCATTCCAATTCAGAGCAAAATCTGTACACAGTTACCCTTTGAAATACTAGTAACTGCAGGAGGAGATTCTGTGGGCCTACAGTTGCAATTTTAGCTATTGTACTGATCACTGGATCCACTGAAGCCAAGCTAATAACGGCTTGTGTGTCATACTGTAAGTGTTCAATCGTTGATTCTACACTATTGACAATATACCAAAGGCAGAGAAAAGTGAGAAGATCTTTTAACGGCGTCTGAGAACTACACTTTGATGCTTGATTTACTGAGGATGAGGTTCTTGATGTCTTCATCGGCGGCACGATCCACAGCAGTCCGGCCGTTGTTATCCTTGACTCTGGGATCCGCACCTGCTCGGAGAAGTTCTTCGAGTTTCGGGACATCTCCTTCTGAGGCTGCCAACAGCAATAAGATGTCGACGGGATGGATCCCTGTACTCAACAGCTGTTCCATCTTGTCGTAGGTTCCCTCGGAGGCCAACATGCCCATGTAATTAAAGTACTGCAAAACCAAGAGATGGCGGTCAGCTGTCATTTTCCACGGCATCGGTAATGGTTTCAGTCAATCGCTTCTTCCCATCGGTGAACCCTGGTGAACTTGCTGGGAGAGTGGGAAGCCTGACAGTTTTGCCAGCATCTATTCGGCTGCTCTCCACTGTATCACGTTAATGCTGAGGTGATGAAACCCTTATGTACGAAGGAAATTCATGCTAGAGATGGGGACGAGAGGTCTTCCCAATAAACCATCAAGACGTAAGAAATCTACGCAGCGCAAATCTCCATCCGACCAAACCAGCGATAGAAGTCAAATTGAAATGTAAAACTCCACCTTCCAAGGTGCATCCCCTTCCAGAGACATGAAGGAAACACGATGGAAAATGAAGGAATCGACTACGGCATAGTTCAGAGTTCTTGACCAGACGCAACCATGGTCTCATGGTGATATGGACAAGGCCACCACTTTGCAATTGCAACGGGGCAATCTAAAGAGTTAAACAATCCTGCACTGATTGCAGCTACAACGATAGACTCAGTCGTCATTGAAAGAGCGAGGGAACCCACGAAGACAAGAAGAAGGAAACGAGCAGTGACAGGGAACGACAGGGCCCGAGATCATCTCATCTGTAAAATCTAAGCCAGAAATAAATCGAGGGCAAGGGGCAGTGAGCAAAACCTGTTCGACATCGTCGCGATCAAAATCATCGCGGGCCTGGCTTCCATAAATTCCGGCGCCCTCGGAGTCCAACCCATTCTTGCCGAATTTGAACCACGCGTTCACTCTCGACCCATTCTGAGGTCCCAAGCTTCTTCCTCCACCTGCCTGCACCTTCTTCAACCCCACTCTTGCAAAACCCAACGAGCTCCTGAACCGGGCGCCACACCCCTCGGCACCGACAGCCGTCACCTCCTTGGCCGAAATCGACCCCGCTGCGCCCGAAACCGACCACACCCTGGCAGCAGTGGAGGCCGCCATCGCTCCAACTCCGCTCCTCCGCCCCTCCGCCCCTCCGCCTCTGCAGCTCTCAATCGATGTGCTCTCTTCCTCTTGCTAAACCCCTAGACCAAACCAAACCCCGCAGGCCCACCGACCGCCCTCGAATTCGTGAATGCCAGACCTCGTGCTGGAGCAGGGGGAGCCGGAATGCACTGCGAGAATCGATCTGTCGACTTCGAGCTTGGCTCGAGTGACCAATAAGCTCCGGCAGCTGAGTCCCCGCAACATTCCACTGGATAGGATGGACGACAACCTTGAGCCCGGCGCTCGTCGTCCCCGGATCAGGCCAAACTCCGTCGCCGGAACGGACAATTTTATGCGCCGAAGATTCCGATTTCGAAGGTTTCGCCATCCAATCCGATGAGTACGGCGTGGACAATGAGATCACGACACGTGTTCCGGCTCCCCGCTGCACTGGTGGCAATGCCCGGCTCCCGAGGTGTGTGGATAGATGGTACATTGGTGCCCTGCGTCCCTTGTTACCCGTTCCGTTGCTTCCCATCCTTTGGGTCCTTTGGGTCCTTTGGGGTGCATCGGGGAAACAGAGCATGTCCCAGGGGACGGTCCGAATCAGATTAGAGGAGGAGAAAGAGGAGGAGTTTCGCGACAGAATCGAGGGTCCTGTGAAACCCACTGCTGGTCTGAGCGCAGGCGGTTTAGGAGGGGGTTCAGCTCCGTGTGCTGGTGCTGGGGCGATGCGAGAGGCGGAATGGCATGGAGGGGATGGTGGTGCTGCTGCTGTTTTGTCGATTTCGGTGTGAGTGATTGAGAAGTGAGGGAGAAGGGGTTGATTGATTTTTGGCCTCTTCTTTGGAAGGGAGAAAGTTTTCGCGTGCTGACATAGCAGAGCAGAGGACCCAGAGATCTCAGAGCCTCATCTCGTCAAAAAGGCACCTCGGCTGAAAGAGAAGGCGAGGCGAGGCGAGGGAGGGAAGTGGGAGTCGTCGTCCAGCTCATTGTCGAGCCTCGTGGAGATGAGGAGAGGTGGCAACTGATCCCCCCCTCCACTCCCACCCCCACCCCGGCCTTGAAGCAGACCCCCTCTCTCTCTGTAACTGCAGGCCAGAGGGAGGCGGCCATTTGTGGGATTCGGCTCTTCTGGGAGATAGAGAGAGAACACAGAGGCAGGAAGCTGTGCACGGGCTAGAGCAGCTGAGGCCCGCCCATTGCCGCACGAGTGCGGTGGATAGCTGGTATTTTAGCTGTGGGACTCAGCGAGTGTCAGATTTGCTCTGTTGACGAGCCTTGAGCGTCTGGATTTCAAATGTCCCTGTGCACGGGAATTCGTGGTGGTCTCGTGAACACGGCCTCCTGCAGCAGTTTCAGTATCCCTTCATGTAGTAGCATTGATAAATCCTGTGCCCAAGTTGACAGCCGCCTAAATTCATCGTCGAATCTAAATGGTTGTTGCTCAGCATCCACTCAATGCCATCTCGGGCGAAGTCGACAGAGCTCACTGAGTTGGGTTGGAAGAGATTCCCACGGGCGTGTAGGTGCAGAGGCTGCCAAATCTTATCAAAAGTTTAGGGTTCACTGCGAAGGAGGCAGTGCTAGTGGTTCTGTGAGTCTGGAGGAATGGACCAAAAGGCTCCCTTCCAAGAGGAAAGCACTGTATTCGCACAGCCTGCCATGCATAGAGGCCTGGCTTCGAAGCTTAGGGTTTTACCAGAACAAAGAGGATCGCTCGGTATGGATTATTGAAAGGCCCGATTGGCATGCTCAACTTTCTTTGGACATCACAGATCTTTACATAAGGTGAGTCGAAAGAGTTCGCCCTTCTGCATTTTTCTTCTTCTCTACACCGTGCAATACTCGTGAATGACCTCAATCTTTGCACTGCCTTTGCGAGACGTCGGAGTCTGTATTAGATTTTTTTGGTGATCAGTTGTCAGTGTCCAGAATTTCTGTGAATTGCCTTTTGTTTCCCTTTGCCTCCGACTGACCTGGTCGAGCAAGTGCAGTTGTTACGCTGTTGAAGAGCGTATGCCGCCCACTGTGCCCGAACTTGGATTGGAACTTGAGTTTGTCAGGCACATGATTTTTTTCTGAGAGAATCTGTCTCTTAGAGTGTAGAGATTATCGAATTCCTGTCGCTTGAATCATATGAAGTCGAACAATTGGGGTTTACCAAATGCTGTTTAGGATCAGAACAAAGAACTGCCGCACGTCGCAGACTGTGTCGCGTGGATTTTTAGTTGAAATCTGGAAATCAGTATTATAGTGATCACGATTCTTCGCCACGTGATCGGTTGTTGAAGCTAGAAATGATCGAAGTTTGCTGGCTGCGGTGAGAAGCCTGTTCTGAGATCAGATCCCCAACAAAGATCCGAGTTTCTAGGCCTAGTTTCTGTGTACTGGGGAAGAGTTTCTTGTGAAAGGATGGCCTGTCCACGAAATTGATACTACATTGCTTGTAACGAATACTTCTCAGTCACAATTTCAGCAGCTGAGTTGCGAGTCAGTTCCTGACGCAACGTAGTTGTTCGAGACGATTCTGTTGAAGCTAATTGTTTGATATTTTTTGTCAGGTACTTGAAAACTGGACCCGGAAATTTGGAGCGAGATATCGAGAGGAAGTTTAGCTATGCACTGAGCCGAGAGGACCTCGAGAACGCAATTCTGGGCGGTCCTTGAGCTCACCCTTATAATGTACATTAAATGTCGATAAGCAATCCTGAATTGATCAAATCTGAACATCTGTTGTCATGGTTCATTCTTCCGCCCGGCGGTATTTCAGTTGTCGGTTGTCATTTAGGAGCGACGAAGTATACCTCCTTGCCAATTGTTTACCCAACCCAATCTCTAAATGCCTACCTCAGAGCTAGGAACATCGACGAATGCGTGGACACGATGACGCCTCGACTACACTGTGATTGGCTCTCTCCATGTCACTTTTTCTGCTGCGTATGTTTGGCCGTATCCTCTCCAAGCCTCCCATACTCGTTTGCCTTGACAATCGTTCCAGGGCCGAATGATGTACTCTCGATCGTCCGTTTAGTGGTCTGCCGTTTCTCTTAGACTGGCCGGTGCTGACTTCAGATCTTCATTCTGTAACCAAGCTACCTCTTGCCATGGCAGTTTGCAGTAAGCTTCAGTGTGTGAGCAAACGCCGAATGCCGGTCTTAACTTCTCTGCCGAAATCCGATGTGTGGAAAGATGTAACATACGAACAGAAATGGGACATTTGTGCCTGGAACTTCGTCCTCGGTTACTTAGCTGAAACTGTATCGACCACCAGATCCTCAGACCTGAATCATCAGTGGTGCACCGCAGGTCCAGTACACTCTGTTGTCGCCGTCAGTTGATTTTCGTCGCATGCTACCGTCTTCGAAGATTATGGGTGAAGTCTCCATCCATACTCAGGATTTGTAATCCTGCGGATCTACTGAAATTTCAAGACCTGCTGACTCGGTCTTGGACACCGAAACGCGTTTCCCTCTTCGCGTCGTTCGCAGGGACTGCATTTCCCACCAGAAGGCGGGTTCCCAGGAAGTGAATCGGCTGGCTTCAATCCAACATTCCACATTGTGATCTTTGTCCGTAACAGCAGAGTTAGAAGATTGTTACACTCATATAACCAACGCAGCTTGAGTTGGCCCCAACAAAGTTGATTTGATGTTTTGATCATATTTCTTGTTCAAATCCTCGCCATGAATGAATGACATCGTTCTACAAGTTTCCTTGTCCGTGTTTGCTTCTCTGTGATCACCAGCTATTCTATTACTCCGTGACACCGGTAGGTACGGTGTAATCTCGGTAGCTCCCACACATATTGAGACATTTATATGTCTTCATATTCACTATGGTTGGTGGGCAAAGCTCTGACCATGGTGCCATATATATATACTCACCTCGAGAGTAATGAAAGAATTACGCACGGGCACGGAATCATCGTCACCTGCACACGTCCAGAGTGTGTTGAGTACAATCTAGCCATAGCAGATATTATTTCTCCATTACGATGAATGTTGACCATTTAGGTAGTTCGAGGCTATTCCCAAGTGGTTGTGCTTGCCTTGGTGGTATAAACATTGCACCAACTTACATGATGAAGCTCTAGCATTTTGTGTCATCTGATGGTTGTGATAATATATATATGCCGGGACCACGAGACCTGTCAGACGTCCTTTGAAGAGAAGAATAGGTAAGGTCATCTTCTTGGAACCAATGTATAGATTGATGGTGACTATTGTCTTGTGTTGTGTACGGCAGAAGGTACATGTCAACAAATGTCGAGAAGTTTTCTTCATGCACGACTTAAATATAGTTTGGAGGTTGAATATGTCATAACATTTATCTAGCATGAAGTCTAAATAAGAGGTTGTATTCGTATACTCTTGACCAGGTCTCTAACTCCATGGAAAACTCCATCAACTGATTACATACTCGCAAGAGAATAGAATGTTAGAAAGACTGGAAAGGAAGTCGCTAACAACTATTATACACTATCTATCATAGATGTCACGTCTTTACGTAGGATGTTCTGACTGAAATATTGGAAGAATCACATTAATCTTTAACATTTCTTTTTCAACCAAAAGTATGAGTAACGGCTGTAAATTCTGGAAAAAAACACATGTGAAAAATCATTTGTCAATCACAATATATATATATTTAAAATAGTTAAATGCATATATATATATATATATATATTACAGAAAATCTGCTCAATGCTAATTATTGTTGTAGGTAAAAGACATGAGATCAAATTCAAATGAGAAGTTGTGTTTTGTTTACTTTCATAACATATCACTTAAGTTTTTTTCATGAACATGAATGAAACCTTGAATCTGAAAGGTAATATCTAACCATGGTTTTTTTTTTTGAAGCAATTGGTGAGTTTATTCCACTGCAAAAAAGGATCAAATACACCACCGCAAAGCCGAGCAAACACAAGGTCAACTAGCAAAACCTCCCAGAACTACCTATTTATTATTTTCAAATAAAATAACTACAAAAACTATGCACTGTCATGAGAGACAATCTAAATAGGGGCGGGGCCAGGCATAACAGGCCGCTGAAAGTTCCACCAAGGCTCCTCTGTCCGCCACGAGAATAACATGCCCTCATGATCCCAATGCGTGGAGAACTAGCGCCGCGCACAATCAATGCATGTGGGTTGGTGGCGCTCGCTCAAGAGCACTTTGGCCCAGGCTGTACGAGCCAAATGCAATAACCCATCCCACAGTGTCTGTTCAAGCAGCGTTGAAGGCCATGCGTGATCATGGAACACGCTAGGATTCCGTTGTAACCAAATAACCCAGAGGGCAACGCCTCGCATCAACGGCCAAGTCGAGAGATAATACTGCAAGGGTTGATGAAGATCATCCCCAAAAATGCATTGTTGCCATGATAATTCTGTCATGGGAGAATGCTGCCCATGTCATTGCAACATTGCATATAAGACCAAGCTGCTGTGGCACAAGAGAAGAAGCATTGAAGGATTGTTTCTGTTTCATCTAGATCGCAGCATGGGCATGCGTAAAAAATTGTGGGCACTGCGCGGTGTCGCCACTAATTCACCGCCACAGCACTGTGGTAGATGCTCCACATAAACGCCGCGTCTTTCCTTGGCCAAGCATTTGTACAGAGAGCTTTACAGTACGAAACGAATGTGGCAGGAAGCAGGCCGTGTCACTTTGCCGCGATTGGGAGAGTTCGGCTCGGGGGCTGAACAGAGTCCAACTTTTCTTGGCGGAATAGTCGTGGAGCAGGTCGCCAGAGTTCCACAGCGAACGTTCAGGATCGAACACTAGCCTGGTCAATGTAGCCATGTAGTAAGCTCGGGTGACAACCTTCGGATGAATGTCTCGCCGTGACCATGATAATCCGGCTGCGCAGCAATTTGCCTTGACCCATGTTTCGTCCAAATCATCCAAATCTCAGCAATTTGAGGAGTGGCTTCTTTGAACCAAGAAGGGTTCATCTTCCAATGAGTTTGACGCACTGGCTGTGTCGCGAGTTGGACTGTTGCAAATACTGGATGATGATCCGATCTTGGAAAGTCACCTCGAATACTGTAGTGGAGCAGGGTGCAGTGAGGTGTCGCTGAAGTTGATTGAAATAGGAACACTCTATCCAATCGCGCCATTGCTCGAGCTCCTGCCGGCCTATTGTTGTCCCATGAGTATTTTAAACTCGAGAAAGTCCTAGGGTTATCCGCAACATTCAACTTGGTCTTCATAATCTCAAATAGTGTTCTCTCCCGAAGTGAAATCATGGATGCGTCGCGCCGTGACTTGTCTATCCAATGTTCAACAATGTTAAAGTCACCAAGTAGCATCCATCGGCATCCACAAGGTAGATCACAAGCGAGAGCGATCCACAGCAAGCAGCGTGAGTCAGCATCATTCAAAGCGTATATGTTGGTTATATCGATGTCAATGGCCGTCATGTTAGTGAAGATGAGCCATTGAACTCTGTTTTCAAACTGAATACCGGATCTTGTTATATTTCGGGCCCATTTGGAATGTACTAAGGTCAGGACGTCCCCACACCCCGCACTGGGATCGTGGACGTTATGTTAGTAACCAAGAGAGGTCTCTAGGCCGTGAGCGAAGGAAGTTCTCCATAGACGTTGACCAATGTGGGTGTAAAGACTCCCACAAAGTTTATGTTCTTATAGTGCGACGAGATCTAGAAAGGAGGTATAGTTCTTGATGTAGCCTTATAAAGCTTCCACGGCAAAACGTTCATTCAAGCCGTGAACGTTAAGCGTCAACAGGTGTAGTATCATCTGTCTCCGAAGGAGATTTGGTGTTTCTAGCGCCTGTCGTTGTTGACTTCATAAACCCCCACACATCCTAGGAGGAGGACGATTGTAATTGCGGGAACGTTTTCAGTCTTGCAACTGTCCTAAGATTCCTCATAGAGGTAGCATTACCACTCACTAAGTCGCCGTCGGATTATGATGCCGAGGTCGTGGCCAGATTCATATTGGCTTTGTTACTTGGACAAGCAGGATTACTTATAGTTGTCAAAACTTAGTTATTGTCGATCGAGAGCTTTTCGACAATGTCTGACGTATGTCCAAGAAGTGGTGCCGGAACCGGGATGGAATGTTTCCAATCAACGATGGTCGAGGAGGACGGAACTGGAGGGAGATTCATACTTGCGTCCTCGAAATGATTAACCTCACTTCCTGTTTCATGAGAGTGTATGAGCCTGGAGGCTGGATAGGTGAAGCAAGTTGAGGTGCTACGGCACTCGTCCATGGGTTGGTCGTCCCGATCACTGGGAGAGTGCCAGGTTGTTGTAGTGCTGCGGCTTTGCAGACGTGAGATTTAGGAGCTGGAGAGTCTATCGACTCTAAAAGTGTGGTACTTGGCACAACCGCAGGAAAGTAGCCGGCTTTTGAGTCTACATCCATAGCCTGTGGCATCGTGGTGTCAAAGTATGTCGTGAGTTGTACGCCATCATCCATCCTACGCCTAAATGGTTTTTTGGTTCTCCAGACTCGCTCTCCATTGCATTCAAAGTCAGGCATCACTCGACATTCTCCATTAGAATATTGGTTCACGAACCTGGTTGTGTGATTCAATGGATCGTTTGGGTCGGGATAATGCTTGCTAGGTTCCTCCATCACAGTATTCTTCGGCAGATCTGGTTTTGTGTGATCAAAACTAAGCATCGGATGAACCAATGGAGATGCGTTGGGAGTGCTGACAATCATTGACGCTGCAAGCGTGCCCGTGGAGGAGCAAGCTCAAGAGTCGTAGGCTCTGAAGTCGTGTGTGTACGTGAACCTTGTGAGCGTACCGGCTGAGGGGGAGTCGGTTCCGTGGCTATAGCATAAAGGATGTGCATTCTTTCTCGTGACGGGAAACAGTACAATTGCAAGCAATCTCTCCTTGATTGCTTTTGGAGGAACCTGAGTTGGGAGAGCATCGAAGAGTGTAGGACGACGACGAGGCCGAGTCACTTCAATAAATCCATTAGCATCCTGATGGGAGCCTAGTTATGCCACTAAGAGTGTCTCCTGTAACGAGTTCGACAACGATGACGATGGCGTTGACCACGCTGAGGGCTGCGATGATGAGCCGGCACCTCTTGGGTGTCCCAGGATGAAAGTATGGGACTGAGCTGTTGTGGTCGGGTGTCACGCCGCGCCCGTTGACATTGTGAAACGGGATGTTGGTGGTGCCCGTACAAGATACATTTGAGCTTGAAGGCGTCGTATTTAACCAAAATCATGGCACTGCCCCCACTTCAGTAAACCCCACCACAGTGGACGTACATCCTTGGCGCATATCAATTTTCACACAGAATTGTGGAATCAAGAATCCGCCATCTCCCTCGTGGACTGCTACTAATGGTTCCAACTATTTGGCAATTAGTCGAGCGCATTCTTGATATTCGAGTGGAATTTTAGGAAATGAGATCCACATCGGCCATTGGAGATTCAATGGAATGTGCAGATTGAACACTCAAACCCACCGTTGGTAGATAATTGTTGTTCCGTTGAAATGATGAAACGATGTCGTAAGTAAGCGATTTGTTGTATCTTGACTATCAGTTCCAACATATACAAAGTTGGAGTTGATTTGTCGGTGAAACAACACCCGTCTAGATGCCGCGAGCTCAGAAATTGAATCCCACCACGCCGTAAGGGCCAAGCCTTGAAGCTTCTCATCCATAATGCATGCGAGAACCAAGTGTGCCGAAAGGAGGAAAATCTCTTTGGCTACCGTTGCTTGGGAGATCGGATCAAGATTGAGCGTCGGCGGCAGTTTGACTAGGAGCCCGTGGTGATTCCTGAAAGAACCGCGTGGTGAGTTTTTACTTGTTACCGTTGAATCTAATCATGTTTGATATTATAGATTTTGTTGTGGATATTGATAGTACAATATCTAAATTTCAAATAGCATGCATTACAAAGAAATTGACACAAATACAAATGATTGTTACAACCAAGTAAAATCATTCATGTTACAACCAAGTAAAGTATGAAATTGTTTATTAAAATTCTATAGTGTATCACTAGCAACTTCAATTAGTTTATTTGAATAAAGTTAACAACATTAATTTGACCAACAATAATTAAATTAATTAGATACAATCATGATATGTGTACATAATTTCTAGTCCGAGACACTTATGCCATAGCCAATTGACAGTCAGACATATTGATAAACCCAAAATGACAAACACAAGAAGACACGGTAGAATGTGGGCTACGTCCACGGCCAAAACACAGAAGAGATTTTATTGATAAATGACAAAAGTTTCCATTACATTTTGAAATCACTAGTATAAGTTTTTTCATTCCGTAAACCTCTCAATCCTTCAATACTTCCTGGTCAATGTTGCTCATTAACATGAATTAATCTCAACAATCTCCACTTTAACTCTTGTTAAGTAAATAGTAAACTACTTAAACTATATTATTACTCTACACTAAGTTCCAGAAAGATACCTAACACAAGACTCATCTTGTCAATCAGAGTTAATTTCTACAAGGCGGAATTACGGCTTATCATGGAGATGGTATTGGCACAAGGTGTGATCAATTTTCATTGTGAAAGCTAGAGTGCTCTACATTTAGCTTCAAATCAAGTTATGAATAGCAGAGTGAAACACATCAACATCATATACTATTCTATTATATAACTAGGTTATGAGAAAGCGATTGAGCTAATAAAAATAAAAGATAAATTGAATCAAACTAATGAGTTGATTAAAGCTATTACTTTGGAGAGTTTCTAGTCACACTAGCATAGATAGAATTTACAAGCATAGTATTTTCAGTTTCATCTTTATATAATTATTCTATACTAAGTTGACTACGTTTTAGTTCTAGTTAAATCTTGGTATAAACTTGACGTTGTGTTAAGTTTCAACCTATAACTTCTCGCAGAATAATTATATAGATTACGGAGTATAACGTTCTCTCATGCTAGCAGGTTTATTTTAATTTTTTAATATCATTATTCTATCATGTTATAACCTCATGTTAAGAAGTTTATTGTTTCCTTAACATGATTTAAGGGGGAAATTGTCGAGGTTAATTCTTATTAAGGAGTAATCTTGGTCATAGCTAAATTTAGCTAGGAAAAGTCACCAAGGTGTACTTAACTTCAAAGACTTCTAAAAGTAGTTGATTCTTTTCATCATCAATACACTTTTTAGCGTGTTCCTATCATGGACAAAGTATTGCATCTGAATGAATCACGTTATCTTTGTGTCTTTTCGTGTTTATGATCTCTCTGATTGTCATATGCATTTGCTATTTAGAGTAACAACACATACTAGTTTTTATTTTATGTATGTATATCATGAAAGATAAATCTATATAAATGATTATGTAAAAATAGTCATAAGATATCTTTGACTAATTTTATTTTTGCATTTATCGTGAAATTATTTTTGTAAAATTTGAATAAAAGATAGGTTGTTGATGTAACATCATTTTAATAATGTTGGTTTATAAAATGTTTATGACACCAAAATAATTTATAAAATGTGAATATCAATTACTACAATTACCATAACATAATATGTGAAGAATGTGTAGACTTCCAATGTTAAATAATATCATGATGATATGAAGATTGTAAGTAAACAAGAAATATACAAAAAATTATAGATTGAAATTCAATAATTATTCAAAATACTTGAAATACGACATTATATCATTAATATATAATAAACTTCAAGATACTAAGTAGATTAAAGAAAAATAATTTAAAAATATATTATCTGACGAGTGAAAATAATTGATATATTTTTAACTTTCTATAGTGTACTGATAAATTCAAGTTCAAGATTTCCTTAATTTATATAGAATATTAAAAGATTGATCTAGAAAATGTAAGCAAGATTTTTGAACATATGAAATATTTTATAATGAAATATATTTCATCACAAATTTGGTGTATATTTTATACTATTTAATAAATTTTTATAATCACATAAAACGACTTTTTGAAATTTACCATAATCAAATATTATTTTCTTGATAATAGATTATGCAAAATATATCATTAAAGATTTAAAATGAATGCAATGGTTGATTATGATTCATCTGATTTATTTCCAGATAAAAAAAACCAGATGAATTTCTAGTATCTAGATTTTTTACTAAAAATTCATTCGTTAGTTGCAATATCACTTATTTGATGATTTTATTTTAAGATTTGTTATTTTTTTTAAATTTATTAATTTATATTTCTTAAATATTGAATTGCTTTTAATAGAAATGGTATTTTTTATTTCTATTCACTGCCTTCTTTATGAATAATTACTGGAACTTTAGATTAAAAAGAATTATACTCATGTTTCAAAAAATTTGATATTATTATGAGAATTATAAAAAATTCAAATCACTAAATTTCTATGACATCAATTTGTAAAATTGTACTTCAACATTGTTATTGTTAAAAAAAAATTTCTGCAAATTGATTAAACTTGCCAAATCAATAAATGGAAGATTGTATTGTTAAAGAAAATAACATTTTCAAATTCAGATCATGATTAAATACTTTAGCAGTATAAATGAATAATCTTTGAACAACATTTTAGAAACATACATAGTTCATAGGACCAGAGATTTATGGATGTTTGATGAGTATAATTCACTTGTTATGGTTATATCCCCATTCAATTCATTTACTCTCCTATAAAGATCATCTAACACAAGATTTATTTTAATTGTTCTATAAATTTCAATGAATAGAAGGATACTACTTTGAATGTTATGGTTGATCATATAGCTATTATGTTCAATTTTTTGAAATCATTAGATTATGTGTTATATTTCTGACAATTGTGATACGCATTTCACCGGACAGACAAGATAAATCAATATTTGATTACTTCATTATAATACTTCATATCAAGCTTCAAAATTGATTTGCAGTGTAATTTTTTCTTTCTACTTTTTTTGACAACGTTTGGTTGATTCTCGGATTGCTAAAGGGATTAAATACAACAAACCACGCTACTCCGCTATACAACAACGACCGATAGTTTGATGTTAGTGCAGCCAGAAGGAGTCACGAACGCGGTAGTGGGAGAAGCCACCATACCATCCTCGAGGCAAGGAAAGGCTTGTCAGTGACTTTGGGTTTATTTTAGTTCGCACTGGAATTGACGATGGCAAAGGGAGAGGTTTAAGGGAAGGCGCAATACTCTGGCGCTTGGTTTTAGGTATGCTGATGATGGTGAATGGTTTGTGTCAGAAGGAAGGAAGGAAGGAAGGAAAGCAGGAGCGGGGCAGGATTCAGTTCGATTAGCTCGTCAAGCGCACTGATGTTAAATTGAGGGTTTGCAAATCGGCCTCGGCCAAGAAGGTGGGCACATCAGCGTCTCAGCAAGTTGGTGCTGAGAGAACGAAGTGGAGAGCAGAGCAGTGGAGCCGTTCAGGGCGAAGACGCGACCCAGGCAGAGAGATTACCGAGGAAGGGCGATGGAGGCTTCATCGTCCGCGACGGTGGCACGGCAGACATGGGAACTGGAGAATAATATTCAGATGGAGAGCCCCGCCGGGGCCGTGGCGGATGCCGATGCTATGTATCAGTACGATGAAGTTGCCCAGGCCGGTATACAGCAGCAGAAGCCTTGGGTCGACGTTCCCCATTATTTCAAAAACGTGAAAATTTCTGCGTTAGCGCTCTTGAAGATGGTTGTCCATGCGAGATCGGGAGGTACGATCGAAGTCATGGGATTAATGCAAGGAAAGACGGACGGGGATACGATCATAATTATGGTACGGCATTATGAGTTGTCGACTTGCTTTTGACGTAGCTGCTTTGTTTCGGTGCGAGCTGTGCATAATATCTCTGCATCAAGAACAGAGTTCAGTTTTCAGAAGATTGAAGAAAAGTAGCTTGTTGTGGATACTGCAGGGCCAGAAGCTAATGTATATATTGCTACGGTTTTATTTTTTATTTCTTGTGTCAAGTTTTGATGACATTGTGTCTGCTCCTGTATCTTCCTCAAGCATTCTGCTTAATACTGGATGCATTGTAGTTTGCCTTGCGCATGTTTTGAGTCTTAGGTCATGAACACTCCATAATGCACCACTGGTTTATTCTTTGTGATCGTGACGTGAATTGTCTTTTGTTATTCATCATCGTTTCGTTCGAAACAATGTCTCTCCTGAGTATCATCCTCCTTCTATCTGCCATTTATCTGATATGCGTTTCTAAACTCCTTGAACGACTTATTTTGAATCGATTTTCTCATTCTTAATATGATCTTCTCATCTTCTCTGCCTACGCCGCCTTTGGTATATTGCTCTCAATCAAGTAAAAGCTTGTCTCACAGAGTCTTTATTAGATATGTTTTCAACCTGATGGACATTTGGGTGTTCATGTCTGTGTTCTGTTCTTTAGACGACCGACTGTTACGTCTACTGGTTAGCTCTGTATTTTGAAAACCGGATATAGACAAACTTTAACATGACCGCCGTAGGTTCTTGCCAGGTGTTGTTTGTTGTCTGTCAACGTTGCTATTTCTGGGCGACGATTGCCTCGAAGATTGTACATGGACATCTGCTCCAGCAAATCCTGAACACTGCTGTGAATTTTTCTACAATTTGCGTGGGATTTGGTGATTGGAGCAGGATGTATGTGTGCCATCCTATTTTCTACCTAATTTCAAGCAGAGTTCTAAGATCTGACGGCCAAGGGTTAGGAAAGTTTATACTGCCCGAACGAAATAAACTTAAGGACAGAGAAAGAAGGGACTCTCTAGGTTACTTCATATCACGTCCTCAACTGTGACTTACATTATCTAAGTATCTCGGAATTTTGTGGTTAACAGGATGCATTTGCTCTGCCAGTCGAGGGAACTGAAACTCGTGTGAATGCCCAAGCGGACGCTTACGAGTATATGGTGCAATATGCGCAAACCAACAAACAGGTGCGTCAGCTCCCCGTTTCAAAGTTCGTCGGAGAAACTTGATTTGTGGGCAAAGGAGGCGAAAAGGGGTTGTAGAAGGCGTAAACTCATCTGTTTAGGTCTTGGTTTTCCTGACTTTGAGTTTTCTGATTACCTACAGCCGTGCACCTTGCTCGTGCTGGCTGTCCAGTTCTACTTTGTGGGTGGACCTCAAGTTAGTGCAACCGAGGCGCCAGTACTCTTTTGTCAGTCATATTCCAGGTCAGAAGACGTTAAACGATGGGCTTTGACAACGTTGGTTTGTGCAAGCAGGTTGGAAGACTTGAAAACGTGGTGGGATGGTACCATTCACATCCGGGCTATGGTTGCTGGTTATCTGGGATCGATGTGTCGACACAGATGCTGAATCAGCAGTATCAAGAACCTTTTTTGGCTGTAGTCATCGATCCCACGAGGACGGTTTCTGCTGGAAAGGTCGAAATAGGTGCCTTCAGGACATATCCAATGGACTACAAACCTCCAGATGAACCTCCATCTGAGTATCAAACTATCCCCTTGAACAAAATTGAAGATTTTGGAGTTCATTACAAACAGGTACGGACAGGCTGATTGATATGAAACTATGAGCTGGTGTTTATTTGCACTTTTTTTTTTATCTTATAATGTTCATTGTAAGAATTATTTTAATCGGAAGTGGTGTGCATCTAACAGTATCGATCTAAAGTTGTACTCTGCAGTGTAATGCCAAATGTCCATTATGTGAGATTTAAGGTCTGGCAGTGGACTTAGGAAATTGAAGGATTTTATGTGACAAGCGTTTCTGGACCCATCATTCTGTTGCACTTGGCAGTACTATTCTCTGGACATTACGTACTTCAAGTCAACTTTGGATTCGCACCTCTTGGATCTACTCTGGAATAAATACTGGGTCAACACCCTTTCTTCTTCACCTCTTCTTGGCAATCGCGATTATGTTGCCGGCCAGGTTTCAGATCTTGGTAATTTTTTTTGCGATTCGAAGTTTTTTTTTAAAAGCCTACTTCGAAAACCAATGACTACAATTTGATATCGACACTTCCCTCTGCATATTTCATCTACAGGCTCGATGGTTAGGCTTCAAAATTTCTTGAATCCGGACTGACGCCGGATTATGGACCCGTTGTGTAACAGCGGAGAAGTTAGAACAAGCTGAAACACAGTTAGCGCACTCTGGCCGGATTGGGGGTTTCTTCATGCCTCCACAACGGAAGAAAGAGGTAGTTTGTGCGCTCATGAACATATCCCATCTTGTGTCGTACCAATGCTCTCTTGTATCTATGGCTACCTCAATTCAGTTCAAGCTTTCACTACCAACCTCGTTCGTATGTAGCCTGATCTTTCTTCGGATGATTCTGCCCAATTTCTTCTCGTTTTGCAGGAAGAATCACAGTTGGCCAAGATTACTCGTGATAGCTCGAAAATCACCGTGGAGCAAGTGCATGGACTTATGTCTCAGGTCAGTCTTTTCTTCTTCTACAGTTTTTCCCGTTTCTCTCAGGTTCACCGAAGTAGCAAATGAAAGGCAGCTGATCCGTATACTGACTGGGTCTAACGAGGACAAAAGCCGCTATATCTCATTGTCACTCCACGTTACACCTTCATCAGTCATATTATTAATACATGGAATTGTCACAGGTGATCAAGGACATATTATTCAACTCCGTAACCTCAGGGAACTCATCTGCTCCCGTTACGTCTGATTCTTCTGGTCCCGAGCCTATGGTCGAAGCCTGAGACTCTCGAAGGAGTACCTTGGCTCTATATACTTCTCAATTTTATTCGTGAGACACCCGAAGAATGATCAAAGATGAGAAGGTGAATTTGATCGAAAGCCCATGGGCTGCATTTCAGTCGTATTTGATGCAAGGTAAGCATGACCTATACAAGGAAGTCATTAGAGCCTGTTAGGAATGAAGCTGAATTAGGTGCAAGGTGTCTCCTTGCCTTAGACAGTTCGTCCTTAGGTCTCGCATAGAAGCGTTGAAGAACGTCCACATATAACTCTAGCGAGGGAGGCTCTTGAACATTTTTTTCCTTGAAGGTGTTGCGCTATTATCTGCTCAAGTGCATACCGGAGCTTGTCCGAGAAGCAAAATCGTTTGTACAGTGTAATTAAGAGCTTTCAGCGGAGAAGTCAAAAGCTTCGTTATTGCATACTGGTTGTCTCAATCTCGATCATACGAGGGACCAATTCGTGATCACACCTACTTGTGTTTCATCCTTTTCGTTCTCAGTCAACTTGGTGTCTTCTGTTTTCTTTAATACGTAGAAAATATCCGTAGGCGATATTGCGGAAATGGCGAAATTCTAGAAGACATACTGAACATAGCTATTAGGCTTCGCACAAAAGCTTTGTTGGGCATGGAGGTTTCAACCTGTCATGACTTATATGTCATGCATAGCAGATAGAAACTTTGTCCGTTAACTGGCCTTTAAGTCAGGTGATTTACTAACCATGCAACATGCTCCTTATGTGGCCTGGGAACTCTGTGTACTCAAATACAGTAAATATTCTAGACTCTCCCGCACGCCACAGTACTGACATCGGCACATAAGCCTGTGGATTTCAAGATATCATTTTTGTTTGTTGAGACGCAGCGCAGGTATAGCAGGACTTAATTAGATTCACCTATAAGGTATCACATATTGTAAACCTTTAGCAGAAGTTGGCCATTTTGAGCATATATGCATCAGACTTCTCATATTTATTATTATCTAAGTTGTTATGATGACATTTGGTTAGGACAAGACAGCGCAGCAAGAGTTTTGATTTGCAGTTACAATGAATACACGGGGACATAAGTGATAGTGGTAGGTTTTATTCTTGATACACTCTAAACATGAATGTATGGAATTTTTTACCTGGGTAATGAAATTTGTAGAATTAAAATACAGAGACGTAGGTAAATGATTGATTTGAGGAGGATGGTATGAAAGCTGCCCGAGTGTCAAGGGTGCGGTAAGAACAAATTCGCAGGAAGGAGAGATGTAGAAGAGTAGTAAGATGCTGGAGATTAGACACGAAGAATGTAAATGACAGAAATTTGAATGAAGTAGATCTTTTGTTATAATCAAAAGACGTGAAATAACGGAGACTTGGAAAGCTTGTCATTGAAGTACTTACTACTGTGAATATTGAACCTACTACCATTTTTGGATTTGATATTCTTGTTCATCTATTGTATTGCTTGCTTCTATCATCAGGGTCATGATGTAACGATATCAAAGATATCATGCACCTGAACATGCATTACACAAAGATGGAAGTTGATTTCAGTTATAATACATGTTTGATAGTTGTGCATGTTTGATGATTTATTACATGTACATGACCATAGTCATGAATACTTTTTCCTTCAGAGATGTTGTTTGATGTAACTTTTAACTACACTTTTGTTGTTTCTCATCGATCGATTGCAATAGTTGGAGATTTTGTAAATATTCCAAAAAAACGGGGATAATAGATTAAGTAAATATTTATTTTAATTATTGATCGTTTTCTGTGTCCTTAAAATTTATACTCAACTAAATGTGAACTATTATTATATATATTAAATAACATAAATATTTTGTACATAAGTGAATGAAAAGTTCTACTATGAAATCTACCAAAATTTCATCATCATGAAGTACGGCGGTAAAGCTAGAATTGCAATAAGCATTGTTCGCAATGAATGAGTCACATAGAAGTATAGGGCCATTACGAAAGGCCAGGTCAACGGTAAAGTTTGAATTAAAGTTCTTATCAACGCACATGCCAAACAATTTGAACATTTTAGAAATGTGACATGTTAATATGATAGAGATCGCTGTAAATGTGATATGACCGTACATGTTTTGGGGAGTTAACTTATACTTGAAATTGTAATGATGAATGAGTTGTTTAAAAAAAATCCCATTTAAAAAAATAATTTATATAAATATGCTAAAATATATATATTCCGAAATTTGATTAAAAAAATATAACTGAAAAAAATAGATTGAATTACATAAGACACAGATTTTCAAGTAGCGAAGATTACAAGGAAAACAATTCTTTTGGTTTTTCAAGGTGCTAACGTCCAAAATAAATATATATCAAGTACAGTACTTGAAGATGCACAAGAAGTTTGACCGGGAGACGATTATCTTTGTGAGAGCAGTAGACTTACCACGCTAGTGTCAAGTGAGAATGCTGTAAATCTCGAGCGTCCATAATTATCCACGAGTTCCAAGGAATTAACGTTGAAGGTGCAATGGGAGTGATAACCCACATGTCAAGAATGGCTCTGGCGGTTTGGAATTGCTCTAGACCATATGAGAGTCCTTTTACTCTTCTAATGAAGGGGAGGCGCCTGTATTGTGTACGAATCTAGAGGTCTGTGATGAGCCACAATATCCGAAGGTCCGACTCAGAGTTCGAGAAAAAACAGAGTCCAGACTTGCAACCGGAAGGAAGGCAAGGACGAGGTAAGCTCTGAGCCCTGCAACAACGACGCACTGGCTCTCCAGCCAGAGCTCTGCACAGGAATGAAACTATGGCTCGTTCACAAGACAGAGTTCGATCTCCATGATTTCGAGTCCACGGGTGTTGTGTTGCAATTCTGAGCAGAGAATGAATCACAGTTGGAAGAATCCGGAGTACAAAAGGAGCTCGAACGGAAGAAGAAGAAGAAGAAGAAGCTCGAATACGAGGAGCTGCATTTTTAGTATCCGAATTCCGGTTCCAGTTGCGCTTAAGCGTGGCCAGGCGTGAATCGTGAGAGGATGAGCTGTAGATGAACTCAGCTGGTGTGTCCTTCTGTTTTGCGTGAGCGCATTGCAGCGACCGAGGTCGCTCACTAGCCTGTGAAACTTGCGCTCCGACCACTGACGTAACGAATTGCTCGTGTGCAGTGAGTGAAGGCTGCGTTCTGTTGGCCCATGTGAATCGTCGCAACAGTCAGGCATGGAACTTCTGTCGCTAGATTTGATTCACGAACCCCGCTAACGATGATTCTCCCAACACAGGGAGCCGTCATCTTACGGAAGGGGCAATGTCAGTCCTGGCCACGAGGGGCGGGCGTGCGTGCGTGCGTGCATGGAAGCGTCGCTCCCGGAGTCAGCCAGTGAGGAGTGTGGCTCATGAATGTGAAAGATTACGAGTCGGGCTTTGTGCTTTGTCTTGATGGGGCAATGAATGTGTCGTCGAGGAGAGCTAGCGGTGGATTGGAACGAACGAATGAAAGACTCGTGGGGTGCATGGTGCGCTGGGCATGTGGTGTACGAAGGTCAGATAACGAAGCACATTCTCTGCGCTTCTGCGAGAGAGAGAGAGAGGAGTGCAGTGGAAACTGCGGAACGAACGATTCCCGTGGATGCCGAGAGGGAGCACAGTACAATGCGAGGGCCTCCTCCTGGCTTGCAGGCTTGGCAACAGGGTCGATCAGTTCACCACGAACATCATTTTTTTGACTCGGTGTCCGCTGACACCGAGTCTCCAGAGGAGACGGGATTGGGGAGGCCGAGACTGTTGAAGGCATGGCCGGCGTGAGCCCCCATAAATTAAGAAAATTCTTCCATAATCAATGGGCAGAGCCGCCGATCATTCAATCCCGTGATCGACCGATCGCTCGAAAAAACACAATAAGAGATTAGAGATTTCTGATCCGAAAATGACCACCTCCGGATCCCTGATCGCCCCTTTGGTGCCTTCACCATCAGAATTACCATCAGTAGGTGGACGAGGTGGAGGAGCAGGAGCAGGGGGAGGGGTTGGAGAAGTAGAACTTTTGCTGGAGCCGTCGCAGCAGCAGCAGCAGCAGCACGAGCGGAGTGAGAACACCGAGCTTTCAAGTGTAAAAATGCAACCGTGGGGAGGATTTCTGAACAACATTTACAATGGGGCATCGAATTTGGCGAATCTGCTGCCCACAGGGACATTTCTGGCGTTCACAGCCATAGCGCCGATCGTCACCGACAACGGAACGTGTGACAATGCGTCCGAGCTATGGCTGAGTGTGGCCACCACCACATTCTTCGCCGCCTTCTGCTTCTTCTCGAGCTTCACCGACAGCTTCCAGGCGGCCGATGGGCAAGTGTACTACGGCATCGTCACCTTCAAGGGCTTGTGGACGCCGCAACTGCCCGTCGCCCTGCACCCCGGCGACAAGGAGCAATACAAGCTGACCTTCATCGATCTCATCCACGCGCTGCTCTCGCTCGCTGTGTTCGCCGCCTGCGCCATGATGACTCCCAACATCCGCTCCTGCCTCTCCCCCAAGCTGAGCGACGATGCCGTCAAGACCATTCCCGCCCTCGTCTCCTTCATCGCCAGCTACGTGTTCACGGCCTTCCCCTCCACCAGACATGGCGTCGGATTCCCGGTCTCGCCCGCCAGCGCCAGCGCCAGCCTGCAGACCACCTCCTCCAAGATGGAGTAGATTCGTCTCTCGATCGAATTCGCTCTGCTTCTCCAGACATGCCGTCAGCCCGCAGATGCTTATAACCTTCTGCGTCATCGAGCACGTGCATCCACTTCAATGCTCTCTTTAGAGCGAGTCTCGAGCTGTGGAGAATATGTAGGAGAGAGAGAGAGAACATTGTACATCTCCTTTGTGACATTAGTCTGTACGGATTGTAGCATGGTAGTCAGCAGGATGTATATTCGGTCATTCCCCCAGAGTCCCCTCCCCACCTCAATCAATCAATCCGGATGCTTTGTACAGCTTCTCGGCTATCTGGGATTTAGAGGTGCTCAGTCCCCAAGCACGGTCAGCTCTTATGTCAAATAAGTTTAGTCAGCTATGGAACCTGTCCCTCTCTCGATAGAGGTCGGTAAGATATATCGTAGCAGCAGTAGATGGTCCTGTGTTTCCAGGCAAAAAAATTATAGATACCCGAAAGAGCAGCAGCAGCAGCAGCTCACATGGAGCACACTCGTCTTGTCTTCATCACTGTCGTGGATGATTGTTGTGTGCTTTGATTGCCGTCTGGGAACGTGGTCGAACTTCGAGGCCCAATGTCATGATTCGAGTCGTTACGGACTATGTTACTCTGCTGCTGCGACCCTCGACGACCAGTAGTAATTCAGCACTTCAAGGAACCCAGTGACCTACATTTGGTTGGTTGGTCTGTCCAGGAACAATAGCTTGCTTGCTTCCATTGATGTGTGTGTAATGACCCAGCCCCGTTCATCTATTGTAGCCACGCACAACATCCTTCGAGAGACTTTTCTGGAGTGTGGACGATAGTCCTGCTGCTCAGCTGATTCCGATGTCTGTAATGCCTGCGCACACTTCTACCGGTAGTCATGTGATCAGGAGCAAACACCCACCGGCTTTTGAAGCGAAACAAGAGTGTGGACATTTGTGCAGTTGTCGTCATATGTACACGATGAACTGGATGCGAATTTGTTGATACTCGTCGTTGCAGCTGCACCTCCAGCTCTCGACGAATGAGAGAAAAGTGCAAGCGAGTCTTATTTTAGGACATTCTGTTGTTTGGCCGTTTTAGGATGGGCATGTTTGACAAATGCGGTTGCTTGTCCTGAAGCTCTTGGCATTGCCGATTGCCGAGGTCTGTGGATACTGTTGTGGATGTCCAATACGCTCTCCTCGAGGGCTTTCCTCTCCTGCGTGTCAATCCATTGACCTGGGCGCCGAGTCCTCTTCAATCAAGCTGGTTGACTGTCAGTTGCTGTCTCGCGACCTTTTTTTGTTCTGGCGTGCTTGCACAGTGAGCGCAGGGGGTTTGTAAGAATCCATCAATAACACCGTACCCGGTGTACGTCCTCCTTGTGCAAAAAGCTGGTATCTTCGGACATGTTGGTCATGTGTGCCAAAAGCTGCTGATGGTCAGCCGGGGCAACCTCTCCTGGGCTTCAACAGGCTCTCATTCAAACTGGAAATTCATCATCACGTCCTCCAAAGCGTTGTAGGAACTTCCTACATCGGAATCTCGGGAGGAATTTGAGCTCCCGACCTTTGAAAACCTTTCCCACTTCCCGGAGGTGGTTTGGTGAGCGAGACCTCGAGGTTTGATTTGATGCACAGTGATGGTGCTGCCTGCCGATTGCAAACTCGATGTCCGTGGCCAAAGGCTCTTACCTTCGTGGCACACTTCACTGAGATTCTCCGAATCGAGCACAGACCGATCGGTGGGGTTTCCATGGCGGGCTTTGGTGCTGCCATTCCCATTCCTACGGGATTTGATCCTCCTCTCCTTCACTGAGCTTTCCAACACGACTGATGTATAACCCCGAGGTACGTCCGCAGGTGTCTGTGAGAGCGGTGACCATATATCGCTGAGCTACAACTGACTCTTCGGAGCGAATGGTACGAGGGATTTCTTAAGGCTAGAGCTAGTTCTCGGACAGCATCAGAAACCGTGTTCTTTTCTGTCACTGGAAGACACGAGAGCCGAGTCAGAAGGATTGCAGCACAGTGCAGATCGGTTTGGTGAAGAGGACTCAAGGCTCTGGGTGAACTAAAATTGGATTTGCAGAACGATCGTTGCTCTACGACAGTCCCTCACGAAGAATGATATAAATGGAAAGCGTGTCTCGTGCATAACTCAAAAGATGAAGAAGAGAGAGAAAAAGAACACATTGGAGCATCAGAAGTTGTTTGGTACCAGCACTGTCTTGAAGCATCTACAGTGCCCTGCGAATTGAGAGAGCAATCAATGGCGAAGAAGTGCGGCCCTTCTGCTGCAGGCTTCGATATGCCATGTGGGCCTCAAGTCATCTCTCGTGGACGCAACTAATATTGTTAAGCGTTTGCTCACGCCCGCAGACGTGACGACGAATATTTAAGTAGAGTGTCCAGCGTTCGCAGATTTCCCACCATCGGACATGGGTAGTCCTCTGACCTCCAGCAGCCTCGAAAGTGGGTGCAATCAATGGCTGCAGATGGAAAAGTAACCTCACCCCCCTTAACCAGCGCTATTGTCTGATTTGTCTTTCTCGAGAAAGGAAAAAAAAAAAGAGGAATTTGTCGAGCACCTGGATCCACTTTTCTCAGCACAGTGACTTGGAATCCGTGAACCAAGAGTGGGTGAACGAAGAAAGTTGTCGCCCTGAGAGCTTCAGTGACCTGTGAGCTTGAACCTTCCCTCCCATGAGAAGGCGAGGACGATGAGAGGAGAGGGAGATCGTGTTTTGCATGCCTTAGAAGCAGACTTGGGTCGTTGTCCACTGGTGGCTCACCACTGGGAATGCAGAGAGTTCCGCAGTGTGTGAATTGAATTGAGATATCTACAGCGCCACGCTTTGAGCTCGTTCTCTGTCTGTGTGTCTGTGTGTCTGTTTGGTGGTGGAAACGGTATGTTGTTGACCGAGAAGTTGCAACCTTTTTGCAATAATTAGAAGTACCCGCTCTCTTGAACAGTTCGCTTCGGAATAGAGAGCCTGGAGGTGTGGAATATCGATGTCGAAATTATTGCTTAAGCTGCCGATGGTAAGAGTGGGTAGATTCTAAATGCTGAGATCAGCATGTGCGTCTAACTCTCGAGTCCTCGTCAGGTCCTCCTTGGGGGTGCGAGGCCTCGACTTATTTATCTTTAAGCCGCCTGCGTTTCTCGCACTCAAACGAAAACCGTAAGAAATTCATATCTGGAATCTCGAGCTACAAGAAAGCCTTTCGCAACCTTCTCTCCTCCTCTGCAAGTGGGTGGTCTTTTCCAGAGCATAGTCACTCTAATCAGAGAGTGATGCTCACGTTTGAGAAATTATTCTGCTGCTTGGTTTATCTTGGAGAGTAAGAACAACGGCCATGGTTAAGGTCTCTCGTTGCAGTAGACCACAGAGCTGTCCATCCTCGATGCTTGTGCTAATTCCTAAATGAGCTCTTAACCGTTCTTCATGCATGAAACAGAAGGTCAGGGCAGCTCAAGTTTCGATAGACTTGCATTTCTTTGGAACTTGGATGCTTCACCCGAGGACATTGTTTAACCTCATCTCTTCTGGACCAGGTTTGATCTGTGAGCTGGTAGAGGTGCCTTTCTTTTGTTCGGTTTTGTTTGAAAGACTTTGATTTCTGCTGTTTTGTCCACAGTTAAGATTCGAGTAGTCAGATGATGTTCAATGTCTAATGTCTTCTGACCTTTGGCCTCATTCCGGCACACCTCGCAGATGACTCGATGGGAAGTCACTCCAGCTGAAAAAGAAGTTCCATGGAGCCACACGTCACTTGCTTTGAGAAAAGTTTAGTGTCCAACCGAGTTCAAGTGGGGTAGCCCCGTTTCGACCCAAGAATGAAATTCAGGTACAGCCCAATGTGAAGTTAGCACTGTTTGCAGGGCACGTAGTCTCTAAAGAGCTGGTACTACACCTGAAAAGGTGGAGTTTATAAAGTTCAGTTTGTTACATCTAAAAGTGGATAGATGCCAAGTTTGGTTGATGAATATTACAAGATGTGGATTAAAATCTAAAAATAGATTTTGGAAGAGTAAATGAGTCGATAAAACTTGACAAATTCGTGAATGTTCATACTTGTCTTCGGGCCTCAAATGAGAAGACCCGAAAAGGATTTAGGCCATAGTTGCTCGAAGTGCAAAATTATGATATTGAAAATAGGTGTTGCGTATAGTATTTGCTCTATTATACCTTGTGCAGCTTCGTTCTTACTTAGGGAGATGAGAGCATGCATGAGCAAATATAATTGTAAAAGAAAAGGGTAGAATCATGTCGTTGGTTTTAAATTGCCAGTAGGACAGTCAACGCGGTGTTGGGTTGAAAGTATATTGTTTACATTAGGGTTTATTGAGATACATACAATCTATGAAATTGAATGTTGAATATGATTATAGTTGAAAATATCTAATGCTAGAACCTTAAATTCTTAAACAAGTTAGATTAGAACATAGCACTATTCTATGTTATGGTAATGAAATGAATTTTATTGTGAATATTTAAAAGAATTATATGAGAATCGACTGATGCACTTGTGTCTTTGTTCACCAGGTTATCTTTTGTTAAATTTAATACCACAATATTGTATACTATGATGTGCTATACAAATACATTGACGCTTCGGAATCTCAGTTGAAATTGTGTTTTATGAGTGGATCACATGGTCAAGTAGTTGAAACCGAAATTAGCACCTGTAAGGCTCATATATTTATCCCGGAATGACTCTGGGACTATGTAAAAACTTTTCCAATTAGTCACGTGGCCATCTACTGTGGTCAAGTACCGCTCTCCTTTAATTTAGTAGAAGCCTAGGCTGATATAGATATGAACAACGTGTGCTCTCTAATACAACGTTTATAGGTGGGAGATAGAGAGCCTTCCACTTCCGGATAAATTACTAGTACATACACGTGCCTTTGATACTGCTGGGACTGAATAAAAAATTGAACTGTATGAACTATTCTATTCTCAGACATGAAAGATATGGACCGTAATGAGGTGTATCAAGGTCTGCAGGGTTCACAATCAAAATGATCGAGGGAGTCAATTGGTTCTAACCGGCATCATGTAGCTGCAGCTGCAGCGTCTAAGTTTGGACTCTTTAGAAGGGTTGAGATAACGAGGTTCGTACTACTTCCCGATATAGTCGTGTATCATTGCACGGACAGTCGTCTAGTGAAGAATGACATGCTTGACTATCGACAGAAATCCCATCAATTTACTGACATTTATGATATTTTCTTTGATTTAAAGTTTGGCTGCATTGTTCAGAATCATATTATGTTCACAATCTTCTAATTCGACGTGATCAGTACCCTGTCGCTTGATTCGATTACTTTACAGCATGCTTTATGAAAGGAAATACGGCCATTGATTAACTAAATCAATCCGAAGTGCTCCGAGGGACTTTGGTGATCTCTACCTGGGATACATAGGTACACAGATCTTGCTAGATCCAACAACTAGCGGTGCTGTCCTCGTTGCCATGTTACCCCCAAGTTTCACGTGTTCAACTTCAGCAGAGG